ACCTGCCAACCTTTCTTTCCAGTCCACCTTGGATAGATGGGTCCAGTTGAGTATCTTCACCTTTGATTGCTCCTTGTGCCTTTCCATAAGTTCTCTAAACCTAATGATGTTGTGATCACTGATGTCCAGATGCTCTCCTGCTGAAACCTGCTCCACTTGCCCGACTTCATTCCCCAGAAGGATCCAGCACTGATTCCTTCCTCGTTGGGCTGGAAACATGCTGATCGAGAAAGTTATCCATCACACATTTCAGGAATCCCTCCCACTCCTTGCCTCTTTACACTATTATTTTGCCAGTCTATGTCAGGATAATTTAAGTCCCCCATTATACTCTATTAGTTTTGCATCTTTCTGAAATCTGCTGCAGATTTGCTCATGAATCTTATTGAAACTTATAAGATTCTTAAAGGGCTGATAAAGTAGACACAGAGGGACTGTTTCCCCGGTAGGAGAATCTCTAGCCAGGGGTCACAGTCTGAAAATTAAGGGTCAGCCTTTTAGAACAGAGTTGAGGAAACATTTCTTCACTCAGAGGGCAGTGAACTTATGGAATTCACTCCCCCAGAAGGCTATAGATGTCAGTCCTCGAACATCTTCTAGGCTGAGACTGATAGATTCTTGAAAAATAGAGGGATTAGGGGATATGGGGATAGGGCAGGTAATCAGAGTTAGATGAGAAGATCAGCCATGATCTTACTGAATGGCAGAGTAATCCAGAGATCACCACCTTTGAGGTCCTTGTCTTTAAGCTTTTTCCCTAGCTCCTCCCAGTAGGATCTCAGCCCATTTTTCCCCTACATCATGGATCCCAATTATGAACCACAACTTTTGGATGTTCCCCTTTCTCCTGTAGAATGTTTTGCACCTGTTCCATGATGTCTTCAATCCCGGCACCACGAAGGCAACGTACCATGTGAGAGTCACGTCTTTGGTTGCAGAAACGTCTGTCTACTCCTTTCACCGTTGTGTCCCCAATGATAATTGCACTGACACTCTTCCTGTGTTCCCCTGTGCATCCATTTGCTTTTGACTCCCCTGACCAGAGGTATCATCACCCTGACCGGTAATCAGTACAGAGAAACTGGTTTGTGAGTGCCACACTCTCAGGGGATTTCTGCACTGCCCATCCCCTCTTCCTACCATGCGGCTGGTCACCCACACACTCTCCTGCGTGGCTGTGGGGTGTTGACCTCCTGAAACGTTCGATCCATGAACTCTTCAGCCTCCCATATGCTACACGTTTGTCCAGGGCACACAAAGACTCCTGGAATTCCCACATGGCACACATTGTGCATGCAACCGGTCCCAAATACCCTGCCATATTCATAGAATGTTACGGCACAGAAGGAGGCCATTCGGTCCATCAAGTCTGTGCTGCTCTTTGACAGAGCGTCACTTTCACTAACCCCAATCACCAGCTTTCTCCCCATAACCCCACAAACCCGTCTTCCCCAGATACCTGTCCAGTTCTCTCTTAAGAGCTGTTATCGAATCGGACTTCACTGCCCTTTTGGGCGGATCATTCCAAATCCCAACCACTCGCTGAGTGAAAACATTTCTTCTAACCTCCCCTTCTTTTGGGGGATATCTTAAGACTGTGACCACTGGTCACAGACACACCTACCATATTCTCAGCCATGTTTTATTATTTTAATATAACTATTATATATTTTATAATTATGCATCTCTTTCCCCCTCTGGACCGAATTCCTACTCTCACTAAATTCCTTAACAGAATTCTCACTCTGTTTCTCCTCACTCAGTTCCCTACTCACGCTGCTGGGCTCTTTGCTCAAGTGAGGCTCTCGCAAGTCTTCTCCTTTATATAAGACTCAAATAAAAGCACCCAGTTTCGACTGGTCAGCAGATTTTTTAATCCCCAACACATGGCCTATGATTAACTGCTAATTGACTTGTTTACCTGCTCATATATAATGTTGCCTCTATCGCAAGAAAGATGTCCCACTTTTCTGCTGAATGAAAGAGTTCTCTTTTGCTTTCTGGTATCTCTCTGGCTGAAGAATTCCCCCTCTCACCAAATTCCTTAACATAATTTTCACTCTGTTCCCCCTTACTCAGTTCCCTCTTCATGCTGCTGGCCTCTCTGCTCAAGTGTCTCTACAGTGAGTCAGTTCTGTTTAGTGAAAGTCTCAGACTGATTTTCCTTCAAACATAAAGAAGCATTGGATGGAAGCCAACTGCAGCTGCTGATCACAGCTTGTTCACACTGCAGCCACTCACTCTCCCACAGCACAGCCACGTGAATGGGTGGGTCTTTGGTGCAAACAGCAGGGAAAGGAAATCCCAACAGCAGCACACCTAGCCCAACATCAACACAGCTTGAAAACAAAGGAGTCCTGTAGCTCAGTGGCTAGAGCACTCGCTTTGCAAGCGAGAGACCCGAGTTCAATTCCAGGCAGGGCGACACCTTGGGCAAGTTTCCTTACTCCACACGACTGATAATAATCCCTCCAAAACAAAGCAATAATAAATTGGTCATTTTCAATCCATGACTGTTTGTGGGACATTGCTGTGCGCAATTGGCTGCCGCATTCGCCCACAAATATACAGTCAATTCACTTTACAGTATATTCTGTGAAGCGCTTTGGGACGTCTAGAAGACGTGAAAAGCGCTATATCAAATGCAAGGATTATTATTATTAAATGTAAAACTTGTGTTGGATTCATGCACGCAGTTCTGTTCTCCCAGACTATAAGTCATTTCCCCACAAAGTATACAGTCAATTCACTTTACAGTATATCCTCTGAAGCACTTTGAGACATCTGGAAGACATAATAAGGAGCTATATCAAATGCCAGTTATTATTAATTTTTCCTTTCTTAGCTGACTGGTTCAGATGTCTGAGGAACCCGCGTAGAATTTACATGGCATTGAATTCTTGTTTCATGTCGGTGTTCATTATAAACCTAACTGAGCTACCCCCTCCCTTCAAAACCCACCTTAAGACCATCTTTTTGATCGCACTTTTCCCACCCATCTCCCTGGCTGTCATGTGAAGCACTTTGAAACCTTCCCCTGACATGGCACAATGTAAATATAAATTGTTGATGAAATATTCATTATAAGGCATTCAGAATAAGATGTGTGAATATCTCCAAGCGAGAATTTCTCATTCACCTACAAATACAGTCAATACACCTTACAATACAGATGCCCCCAACATGAAAGATGCTGCAGCAGACACAGTCAGCTTCATGTCCCCAGTCCTATCTTTGGCTAGCAACTTTGTCCCCATTCTCTGGAGCGCCATCCTCAGAGTTCCTCACTCCATCTCCCTCCCTCACATTGTTCAAGGTTCATCTCAAGTTTAACTTCTTTCACCGCACTTTCAGTCATCTTCCTTCCCCTTTCAGTTTTCACCCCAACTCCAACAAGCCAGTATTGATAAGCGTCCTGGAATGTTCTTCTGGCATAAAAGGTGCTATATTAATGGAAATTCACATTGAACATTAGATATAAGGATTATTAATTTATTATGGTTATTATTATTACTGCTTTGCCAGTATTATTACTGGCTTTAAACACACAGTGCTGAGTAATTTGCAATTCTCTGGCACAATTCTCTGTTGAAGCAGAGACTATTTACAAGGGGTTTGAATTCAGTCTGGGGAGTGAGTAGGAGAATAGATTAGACTGGGCAGTTTGTGTGGAGATTAACGCAGGTGCTGACTTGGTGTGTTTCTGTGCTGTAACATTGTGTGAGCTGATATTCACACAGTTTGTTCTGAACGCCTTATCCTCAGAATGATATCACTGGGGGAAACACATCCCAAGAGACAGTTACAGACTGTAATCTACCCCAGGGCTTCAGATAGAGCCCCACACGTGGAGTCCTGTAGCTCAGTGGTTAGCACACTCGCCTTGCAAGCAAGAGGACCTGGATTCGATTTGTGGGGTGGGCGAAACCTTAGGCAAGTTTTCTTACTCCACACATATGCCTAGCCTGTTTACCTAGCAGTAAGTAGGAATCCTGTCTTTAGTCAATTAGTGGATCACTTTCCAGAGGGTAATAATCCCTTCAAAATAATAAATTTTAAACAATAATATGGTCACTCAATTCACAACTGCGTGAGGGACACTGCTGTGCGCAATTGGCTGTTGCATTTCGCTCACAAAATACAGCACTACACTTTACACTATATACTGTGAAGTGCTTTGAAATGTCTCAACGACATGATAAGGCGCTCTATCAAATGCAAGGATTATTATTATTATAGTTGCTGCGACCTCTGTGCTGGTCTCACACTATGATATGACACTCTACGCTTTTCAATATTCACTGTTAAGGGGGAAAGCATCAGAGGCTGGTGTATTTCCCCACCCCTTCCCAGAGAGGGTAACAGCCTGCTCTGGTTCCCCATAAATCACACGTCAATAGCCCTCTCCTTTCTTGCTGCTCCCCCCAACACTAATGGTCAGTATTTCAGTAGGCCTTGCCTCTTAAATGTGAAGTCCTGTAGCTCAGTGGTTAGAGCACTCGCCTCGCAAGCAAGAGACCTGGGTTCGATTCACGGGCGGGGCAAAACATTGGGCAAGTTCCCTTACTCCACATGCCTCTGTTTACCTAGCAGTAAGTAGAAACCTGGTTGTTAGTCAATTGGCAGATTGCTTTTCCGGGCATAATAAATCCTTCAAAAAAAAATTGGTCACTCAATCCACGACTGTTTGTGGGACGCTGCTGTGCGCGATTAGCAGCCGCGTTTCGCCCACAAAACTTACTCAGTATGACCAAATGGATAACAGCCAGGAATTCTGATTAGTTTAGATATAACTGGCGTGATTAACATGCAGAAATATTTACCAAGGTAATAATAATAATTTGGTCACTCAATCCATGACTGTTTGTGGAACGCTGCTGAGCGCAATTGGGTGCTGTGTTTCGCCCACAAAATAAACAGTCAATTCACTTTACAGTATATTTTGTGATGTTTCAAAGATAAAAGGAGGTATATCAAATGCAAGGATCATTATTTATTACCTGAGTGGTCTGTATGACTGTCAGGTCGTTGATGAAGGAGAAGCCTGCGCCCATAGTGGAGCGGAGCCCAGCCGTGCCAAACGCCAGCCGATGGCACAGACGGTCACAGAGCTCGCTTTTCTGCCCGTTCACCAGCAGCTTCTTGATCTCAGCTCTTGTTTTAGGATTCTGTGGAAGATTTGAAATAAAAATTTTGCATAACTATTTATCTCATCAAAATGTCCTAAATCACTTCAAGTGAAATACTGTCAAGAACAGTAACAATAGTGATAGCCAATTTAAGTCAGCCAGGTGTTAGACACATGTGGAAACGCATCATCTGGGCCAATAGAAAACTGCAGAAATATTTGCCAAAAAATTATAGAAATTTGGTCGATTTGCGGAAAGTTAGATGGGGGAGGGTGATTGTTGCTATTGATGTACATTTTATTGCAAACATACATTTTTTTAAACTTTATTGATAAAAACTAAACATGAGGAAATAACACATATTATTGTTGCAAAAAAAACAATGTACAGGATATTCACCGCCTCCTGCCTCTCAGGGCCCGCCCGGTACCTCACACAGACAGACACCAACAGAGAGGGACATTCCAATACAGTTACAAGTGCACAATCATTAAGCATTTGAGACATCAAAGCGTTTTGAGACATCCTCTCGACATGAAATTAGCTATTTTAAATACAAGGATGTTCTTAAAAAGGAAATGGCAATGATTCTGTGTTCAATTTATATTCAAATCTATAGAACTGCTGCTGTGGTTTGGGAGGCTTTGGACTGTTCCCAAAAGAACCGAGTGAAGCTCGGCTGCCCTCCCACTGTAAAGGTCACTACTATTTACTCCAGTCAGCGTACAGTATCAGATAGATTCAAACTACTCAGACTTATTTTCCTGTACAGTTCAGAAGATTTTTCATTTCAGTATGTGCATAGCTCATCCGTGATTTCACTCACAAAACATACAGTCAATTCACTTTACAGTATATTCTGTGAAGCGCTTTGAAACGTCTAGAAGACACAAAAAGCACCATATCAAATGCAAGGATTATTATTTATATTATGATCTCTTTCCCAGGCTGCCGAGATCCTTGTCCACAACTTCATCACCCACCCTGCTTAAATCCTGTATTACGCTCCATGTGTAAATTTCAGCAAGAGCCAGAAGCCAACAGGAAGAAAGGGAGAAGATTTAATTTTCTTGCAACTTCATATGAACTTATTGTTCTATCCCCAAGACTTGGCTCTTGCCAACCTGTGCCTCATACTTTCTGGAATTAGGTCCCTCCAATGAGAGAGTGTGAATTCCATTCCAATAAACATCTCTGGAACTTCCATGTGTATTTGGGATTGCTGGAATTCTCAGGTTGGTTTGGATATTCTTAAACTGGTGTTGGTTTCAGCATACGACAGACACCCAGCTGACCAAAAACGATTCTTATTGCTCACAATCCTCTAGTTCAGCATTAACACGCACTTAAGTACATATTGATTACCAGTGAGACTATTTAGTTGATTGCATGGGCATCTCAGCCCACATATAATAATTCTTGCATTTGATATAGCACCTTATCACGTCTTCGAGGCGTCTCGAAGCGCTTCACAGAATATACCAGCAGACCTAATAGAGGTCTTGAAAATCATGAGGGGATTTGATAGGTTTATTTTGTGGGCGAAACACAGCACCCAATTGCCCACTCCACTGGTGGGAGTGTCGGTGACTCGAGGTCACAGGTTCAAAATAATCTCTAAAAGAAGCCGAGGAGCGGTGAGAAGAAATGTTTTCACGCAGCGAGTTGTTCGAATCTGGAACACATCGCCTGAAAGGGCGGTGGAGGCCAATTCGAGAACAACTTTTAAAATCGCGGTGGACGGGTATTTGAGGAGGACGGGTTTGCAGGTTATGAGGAAAGGGCCGGGGAGTGGGATTGATATTACATTGCTCTATTCAAAGAGCCGCCCAGACTCGATGGGCCGAATGGCCTCTTTTTGTGCTGTACGATTCTATGATTTTGTAAAGTGAATTGACTGTATATTTTTGTAGGTGAAACGCCGCAACCAATTGCGCACAGCAGCGTCCCACAAACAGTCGCTTCACTGATCCTTTTTCAAGCACTATGAATCCATCTATTGTTTGATCTTGATGAACAATGGTTTCGGGGGAATCTTTGGGGATTTGAGATGCTTGGAGAATATCCTGGGATTACCAACTGTAAGTGGTTTACAGGCAAATGGCTTGTTGACAAAGCATTAGATATGCAATGTGAGTGTGATAGTTGTCTATCACATTCTCGCTGCAGGAATGTGCTGGCAGGTTTCCCAGGAATATGTTTTTTCCCAAAATGTTTAGAAGCAGATTCCAGTCAATAAATAAAGCAACGTTGAGAGCTACATTGCCAAACTATTTCAGTTCAAATCTCAAAACATCATACCCTCTAGACAGGCTATACATAGCTTACAGTTTGAGAGAGACGTCTCAGAGGAAACATTAATAGCTGACTAATGGTCAAATAGCCATCAATGCTCTATCTCTAATGCACTAGCCGATCGCCCTTTTCTGCTGGGCTCCACATCTCCCCATCATCCAGTGATCCTCCAGCTGGTCAAATTTACAATCTTCATTTCACCATCAAAACCCTCCACGGTCTCGCCATCACTGATATTAGCAGTGAGGCGAGAATCAAACCCGGGTCCTCTCACTTGTGAGGCAAGCGTGAGCACTCCATAGGAACTACAGCTTTCTGTGCTACTGAGACCAGAGACAGTGGAGAAAAATGAGATAGATAAATATTCCGTAGTCTTAGCTTGCTTCCAGCAGAAATAAGGTAGATTCTGCTGGCTGTGGAATGGCATTTCCCATTTCACACTTTATATTTAATAATAAGTCATAATAATAGTCCTTGCATCCTTACACCTTATCACGTCTTCGAGACGTCTCAAAGCACTTCAAAGAATATACTATAGTGTAGTGACTGTATATTTTGGGGTCAAAACACAGCAGCTAATTACACAAAGCAATGTCCCACACACAGTCATGGATTGAGTGACCAAACTATTACTGATTTATACTATACTCACCTTCGTCAAAACCGCCCCACCCCGTTGACACCCCCCGTCGCCCAACCACCCCACCATCAACACCCCTGGAAACAGCTTATTGCAAAACTGCTGCTACCAGTCAAGAATGCTGGATTCAGTGTTCAGTTAGTTTGGTTGTTCGAGGGGCATACTACTGTGGATAAAGGAATGCAATACTATCTCACTTTAACACCACAGATGTTGATGTCTGTTGTCATTGGCATCATGTAACTCACTGATGGGCACAAATGTGTGACACTGGAGCTAAACACAATGACATAAGCAGAACACACCATGGACCTACAATCATTTGGGTGGTAAATCACACACGCATTCACTTCTAGAAACAGAAGTGGCCCAGTAAAAGCTCAGGCCAACAACCACATTTTTCCTCTCTCTGTGGATCTGATTCAATACATGTCCCAATGCAGTGGTGCACATGCATGTTGGTAGCATATATGACAACATCACACATGTTTACAGAGACAAATGATTGAGTGTTCAAGCCTCATGTCGGGACTTGAACTTGCCAACAAACAGTCACTCACAGGACTGCAACTCCCATGAAGCTCTACATCACAATGTCTCAAAGGCACTATATCGTCCACAAAACAAAGTCAATTCACTTTACAGTACATTCTGTGAAGCGCTTTGAGACGTATAGAAGATGTGATAAGGCACTATATCAAATGCAAGGTTTATTATTAGTAGTATATCAAACGCAAGAAATATTATTTGTCTCGGCTGCCACTCCAATACAGTGCTGGGGTATGCTGCATTTTTGGAAGTGCTGTTCTTCAAAGGAAACATTAAATAGAGACATTGTGTACTTGTTCAGATGCAAATTAAAGAACCAATAACACTATTTGAAAAGGGAACAGAATTTCTCTCTCCCAGTGTCCAAGCCAAAAATCCCCCAAATAAAACGGTTGTTCACTTTATGGCTGTTTTTGGGCTACTGCAAATTGGCTGCCACATTCACCTATACAAAAAAATTTCCAGTCACTACATTTTAAGGAAAATCATGCAAAACACTTTGAGACATCCTCCCAATGTAAAAGTCGCAATATCACATGCAAAATTATTATAAATGTAAAGTCTGCATTCAGTGGTCTGGGAACAGATTTCTTATCATATGCGTCATGTGGAAACAAGGTGACATTTTTAGGCCCGTGTTCCAGGTTATATGCATGAAAGAGGAAACTGGTTTGTGCATTGTGTTTGAATTAACCACTTTAGCTGGTATGGTCAGGATTATTCTTCCCTCACCTCCTGAACAGCCTCCTACTCACTAACCTCACACTGGTACACCAGCCACCTTCGCTCCCTCAAGGGTCAGGTGCACCAGGCTCAAGTCTGACCTGACGGTCCACCAGAACTGGCTGGACCACATCAAAACGTACCGCTCTGCCCTTGCCTCCACCAAATCATCCTTCTACTCCAAGATAATCTTGAAAGTGAAAGACAACCCCAGTTTCCTATTCTCCACCACCAACCGGCTCCTCCGTCCGCCCTCCCACACCTCGCCCATTCTCTCCTCAACCACTGACTGCGAGGAGATGCTGGATTTCTTAGAGTCCAAAATCCAGGGGATCCATTCAGCTCCCTCTGCCTTCCCAATTGTCACTCCATTCCCATTTCCCCACCACACTCCGACCCCTATCCAACCTTCTCTCCACATTTTCAAACCTGTCACCTCCTCCTCTCTCATCACCACCATATCCAGCATGCAACACACCACCTACTCCTTTGACCCAATACCCATCCCTCTCCTTATCTCCCAGCTCCTCGCCCCTCTGCACTCCGACACCATCAATCTCTCCCTTTCATTTGGCACCATTCCCATTCCTCTCAAAACAGCTGCAATCAACCCATCCTGAAAAAATCTTCCTTGGAACCATCCCTGCCTTCTAACTACTGGCCCATCTCCAACTTCCCTTTTCTTTCGAAGGTCCTTGAAAGAGTTGTTGCTTCTCAGCTTCACTCATTCCTCTCCTACCACTCCCTTCAAGAGCTCACAGCACGGAAACTGCTCTAGTCAAGGTGACAAGCAACATTTTGTTCATCTGTGACCAGGGCTCCCTCTGCCTCC